ACTTAAAATGTCCCACATTTTGATTTTGGCTTACTGCTTCTTTGTGGTATCATTAGATCCAGGTTCAAATTAGATTTAGGTTCAATTATGAGGAACATGTTGTAGGTGGCGCTGAGTACTTCCTGTTGAGTCAACATAAAGTACATGGTGTCTGGTTGTTCCACTTTAGTGAGGCTGAGAATGAGCAGAGAGATCATGTAGAATCTGCCTGACCCCTTTATAAAATTTCCATCAACCTTTCTAAGGGTTCTAACATCCATTAGTGGTTATTGCTTAAATCTATTATTTTCAGATTGTATTATTTCTTGTCATTAGTAGCTAGAACTCTATGAAGACTTTTCCCATTTTGGGTTACCCTGAAATACAATTTTTACATGAAAGGGGGATCAACTGCTTGATTCTTCTGTTTATTATATTTTAGAATAATGAGTTGGTACTCTAGCAAGGTGATAAATGATTATTTTCCTCTCTGTGTATAATAAGGTGCTCTTGTGGGGCCGTGGTTGTACATTGCTATACACATATATATTCAATTCTTAAATTACTTATTTGTCCTTGGGTGGCACAAACAGTTTGTGCTCAACTACCAACCTTAAGGTTGGTGATTTGAACCCATCCAGCGGCACTACAGAAGGAAGGCCTGACACTCTGCTCCATAAAAATTACAGCCAAGAAAGCCCTCTGGAGCAGTTCTACTGTGCAATGTATGGTGTCCCTAGGAGTCAGAATCTACTCAGTGCCAATGGATTTGGTCTTGGCTTTTATTTTTGGTTAGCTTTATTGAAGTGCAGTGTGCAAGGTGCCCAGATGTACTCTGCTTTGAGCTGTTTAACTTTCAGTCACAGTGTTTTGACTCCCCAGCTGGCCATCAGGCCTCTTGTGGTGATGGGTATGGCTAGGACTCATGCTCTCACAGTTGCTTCCAGATATGGCTTCAGGGGCTACTCCAAAAGCTCTCACAGACTGTGATGCTGATGGAATTAAAGTTAGTAATCCTTGAAAGCCTAATGATGCTCAAGGAATCCCACTAATAATGGAAGACATAAATAAGAAAATCATGTCTTAGAGGCTGTGGTCCTGTTGTCACCTCTAGACTGTTGTCACCTTTCTCCATCCACCAGAGGGCAGTGACCCACCCTGCCTAGCAGTCTGGCCTCCCCTTTGAGGTCTGCCCTTTCAGATCCTAGCATTTTAGATCTTGTAGTGACTCCAAAACAGAATATATATATATATATATATATATATATATATATAAATGTATAGCCTATGAGCTAAAAATGGTTTTCACATTTCTTTCTGTGTGTGTGTGTGATTTGGGTGAAAGTTTACAGAGCAAATTTGTTTTCCGTTCAACAGTTCATACACATTTTGTTTTCGTGACAAATTGCAATACCCCAAAGTAACAACTCTCTTCCCACTTTTTCCCTGTGGTTACCTCTTCCCTGTGTCCTACTTTCCTATGTGTTCCTGCCCTCTGAGTTTTCTCCCTGCACAAATGCTGCCCTTCTGCTCTCCCATGGTTGATTGTTCTAAGGAGTGTACCTCTCTGGTATAATTGTTCACCTCATAGGCCTGTCTTATTGTTTGGCTGGAATTTAAGCCATGGGAATGAGTTCAGTTCCAGGTCTGAAGGATGACTAGAGGTCATAGTCTTGGCAGTTTTACCAGTCTCTTACAGATTAGTAAGCCTGGTCTTTTTTATGATTTTGAGTTTTGTTCCACACTTTTCTCTAACTCTATCCATAATCTCCAATTTTGATCCTTTTCTGAGTGGTTGGCAGTTGTAGCCAAGCACCATCTCGTTCTTCTGGTCTCAGGGTCATATAGGCTGAGGTTTGCACAGTCCACTCCTAGTCCTTTGGACTTATTGTTTCCATGTGTCTTTGATTTTCTTTACTTTTCTTTGCTTTGGACAAGGAGAAACCAACTGTTCTATCTCAGATGGCCACTTGCAAGCTTTTAAGACTCCAGTTGCTACTCAGCAAAGTAGGATGTAGAACAATGTTTTTGTGCCAGTTGAGCTTGATGGCTCCCATGACCATGGTCCCAAGCCTGTGGGCCTAGTGAGTCACTCCCTCAGGGTGTTTGGCTATGGCTAAGAAGTTATCATAACTTTGCCCCCTGTTAGTTCACACTGTTGGGGAGCTCTGGTGGTGTAGTGCCTAAGACATTTGACTGTTAACCGTAAGTCTGGCAATCAAACTCACCTGCCACTCCTCAGAAGGAAGGTTGGGTGATCTACTTCTGTAGAGATACATCCTCAGAAAACCAAGGAGCGGTCGCTATGAGTTGGAACTGTCTCAACAGCAGTGAGTTTGTTTTTTTTCAGTTAGCTCTATTATATATATGAATGTGCTTATAGTACATACAAGTATATGTATGTAGAAATACCATCTGGATTTTTTTGTTTTTTGATTATAAGAAATACATCTTATATTGCAACCCAGTAGAGACATGCATGCATATGCAAATATACATACGGATATATTATAAAAATTTCACAAAATAACATTTCTCTCTTCTATATACAATATAAGGAGCTCTGGTGGTGTAGTGGTTAAGGTTACTAACCAAAAAGTCAGTGGTTCGAACACACCAGCTGCTCCATGGAAGAAGGATGAGGCAGTCTGCTTCTGTAACTATTTATAGCCATGGAAATCCAGTGGGGGTCACTATGAGTCAGAATCATTTCGATGGCAGTGAGTTTGGTTTTTGGTTTGGTATATGCAATATACTCTGATGTTTTCTGTTCTCTTTCCTTAAAAGAAAAAGTGCTCAAATCGATTTCATGATTCACATTTTGGGACAAAACAAAAACAAAAAAACAAACCAAACCCATTGCTTTCAAGTCTATTCCAGCTCATGTTGACCCCATATGTTACAGACTAGAATTGTGCTTCATACATAGGGTTTTCTTGGTTATAATCTTTATGTAAAATCTTCCTGAAGATAATAAAAAACAGTTGCAGCAGTATATTGACAGAGAACTTTTAGATATGCAAGCTGGATTCAGAAGAGGACATGGTATGAGGGATATCATTGCTGATGTTGGATGGATCTTGGCTCAAAGCAAAGAATATCAGAAAGATGTTTACTTGTGTTTTATTGACTATGCAAAAGCATTTGATTGTGTGGATCATAACAAACTGTAGATAACATTGAGAAAAATGGGAATTCCAGAACACTTAATTGTACTCATGAGGAACCTGTACATAGACCAGGAGGCTGTCGTTTGAACAGAAGAAGGGAGCACTGCATGGTTTAAAATCAAGAAGGGAGTGTGTCAGGGTTGTATCCTTTTCCCATACTTACTCAGTCTGTATGCTGAGTAAATAATCCAAGAAGCTAGACCAAATGAAGAAGAACGTGGCATCAGGATTTGAGAAAGAATCATTAACAACCTGCAATACGCTGATGACACAACTTTGCTTGCTGAAAGTGAGGATGACTTGAAGCAGTTACTGATAAAGATTGAAGAATACAGTCTGCAGTATGGATTACATCTCAATATAAAGAAGACAAAAATCCTCACAACTGGACCTAAAAGCAGTGTCACTATAAATGGAGAAAAGATTGAAATTGTCAAAGACTTCACATTGCTTGATTCTACAGTCAATGCCAATGGAAGCAGCAGTCAGGACATCAGACGATGTATAGCACTGGGCAAATTGGCTGCAAAGGACCTCTTTCAAGTGCTGAAGAGAAAGATGTCTCCTTGAGGACTAAGATGTGCCTGACACAAGCCATGATATTTTCAATCACCTCATATGCATGTGAGAGCTGGACATTGAATAAGGAAGACTGAAGAAGAATTGATGCTTTTGAGCTGTGGTGTTGGTGAAGAATGCTGAAAGTACAGTGGACTGCTAAAAGAACTAACAGGTCTGTCCTGGAGGAAGTACAGCCGGAATGCTCCTTGGAAGCGAGAGTGGCCAGACTTTGTCTCACTTAGTTTGGTCATGTTGTAAGAAGGGACCATTCCCTGGAGAAGGATGTCATGCTTGGTGAGGTGGAGGGTCAACGAGAGAGGGGAAGGCCCTCAATGAGATGAATTGATAAGGTGGCAGCAGTGATGGACTCAAGTATAGCAAGGATCATAGAGCTGACGCAGGACCAGGTGGTGTTTCGTTCTGTTGCACGTAGGGTTGCTATGAGTCAGAGATGACTCGATGGCAGCTAACAACAACAACAACAATAGTCTTTATAGAAGCAGTTTATTAGGCCTTTCTTCCATGGAGCCACTGAGTGGGTTCCAACTGCCAACCTTTAGGTTAGCAGCCAATAGCAAATGACTTGTACCACTCAGGATCTTACAAATTGAGTCACAACCCACAATTAAAAAAATTCTTTGGAGATCATATAGTTCAATATCCTGAATTTACAGATGATGAGAGGTAGGGTTAAAGAGGGGACTTACCCAGGGCACTCTGGGACTTAGAGGAACACTTAGGATGAGGCTTTGCAACTTTGGAATTCTAATCTGGTGCTTTCAGCATTGTATTTTGTACTTAGAATTTTCTGAATGGGTCATGGTGGTCTTTGTGGCAAAACTATTGAGGTATATCTAGTGCTCAGGCAGGTTTCAGCCATATGGACATGTGTTTTCTATTCCCAAGCCTCATGAAGTATATACTAGGTTTTCTTACAGCCAGTCACCTCCAGCAGGACATTCTGTCTCTGAGACTATAACTTCTGCATCTCAGCCACTGATTCTCAGATTTTGGTACAGGTCTCTCTGCAAGCTAAGCCTTTATGGTATTGTGCATATGGGTCTGTGAAGATTTCTGTTACTTGCTACTACTTTCTCATTACTAGCTGAATGAGAGCTAGTGTCCTTTGCCTTGCTGAATCTGGCTTAGCAGTGGTTTGTTCTGTAGCCCAGGAGTCAGGCATTAGCTCTATCAGTACATTAGCCCGATTAAGTAAGCAGGGAGTCACCAGCTGCTGAAATGTGGAAGGTGGATGTTCTCATGCAGTCCCTTCTTTGCTCTGTAGAATGCCTCCCAGCGGACATTCACGATCGATTACAGCCAAGACAGTTTCCTCAAGGATGGCCAGCGGTTTCGCTACATCTCAGGAAGCATTCACTACAACCGTGTGCCCCGCTTCTACTGGAAAGACCGGCTGCTGAAGATGAAGATGGCTGGGCTGAACACCATCCAGACGTAAGTAGGAGGACACTTGGCTGTCCCCTGGGCCTGGACACTCACACTTGGAAGGAGGTATGGCTGCATATCTCAGTCCTGCTATTTCACTGCATAGACATGAGAAAGACCAGACTGGCTTTCTGGGAGGGGCTTGTCATGAGCTTGACTGGTCCTTATTCAGGCATTTAACCACTTCTTCCAATCTTGAACTTTGTTATCAGAAATCATATATGACTATCTGCTTAAAAAGGCAAAGGGAAGTAACAGTGTTTAAACACTGATTGTGTAATGGCATATTACGTGAATGATCCACTTCTCTGAGGTAGGAATTATTATTGTGCCCATTTATAGTTGGTAAAAATGAAATTTGCCTAACACCATACCTTAGGTCAGAGGTCCAGCTAGGACTCGAATGTAAAGGTGTTTGTAGGTAGCTATAGCTTCTCTTAAGTAGCTCTGGTAGCATAGTGGCTAAAGCACTTGACTGCTAACCAGAAGGCTGGTGGTTCAAATCCACCAGCCACTCCTCAGAAGGCAGGTTGGGCAATCCTACTTCCGTAGTGATACTGCCTCAGAAACCCAAAGAGGGGTCGCTATGAGTCGGGGCCGACTCGACGGCACATAACAACAACAACATAGCTTCTCTTGGAGCTCTGGTAGTGTAATGTCTAAGGCACTTGACTGCTAATCAGAAGGCTGGTGGTTCAAACCCACCAGCCACTCCTCGGAAGGAAGATTGGGCAATCTACTTCCGTAGTGATACTGCCTTACAAACCGAAGGTGGGGTCACTATGAGTCAGGTCCAACTTGACGGCACATAACAACAACAACAACATAGCTTCTCTCGGCTCTTAGGGGAGGCTGCCTTGTTAGGCAGAGCCCTGAAACCTGGTTTGTCTTCCTGGCTCTGTTGCAGTAATTCAAAAACCCCAGACTATAGAATTACCCCTACATTTATCTCCCCTCATCTTTTCTGCTCTTGCAAGGTGACTAATGGGAAGAAAGTTGAGGCAGCTGGCTTTCTCTTGTTTTCACAGTGCTGATGTAGATTGCAGATAAGTGTTTTAAGATAAATGTCGAGACAACCCAGAGGCAGATTCCTGGGAGAGTAGTTAGAGAAAATCTTACTCTTTATCCTGGCATTACTGCTGGCAGAATGACCTTGGCACATGTCTGGACTTGAGTGAGTCACTGAGTTCTGGGGACCAACGCTGTTAGTTCTGAGGAATCTTGAAATCATGGGATTATGGAAAAAGGATACAAATAATGGAGACCCTTGTCTTCATATTTATATTCATATCCTTTGCTGTAGGTAACCAGGGAAGCTTTTGTTATTTTATTTCCTGTCACACTATTTTATTGATAAAGTCTTTCTTCAGGAGGGCATATGGCTTGGAAGACTTTTTTGCTTTTAATTGTGGTAAAAACATACAAAATAGGACATTTGCCAACATAACAACTTCCACATTTACAGCTCAGGGGCATTGATGGCATTTTTCTTTTTAAAATTTTTATTGTTATTTGTTTTATTGTTAAAGTTTACAGGGAAAATTCACTTTCCATACAGCAGTTCACATACACTTCGTCTCATAACATTTACTACAATATTCCACAATCCAACAGCTCCCCTTCCATTCTTCCCCATAGTTACCGCTTCCCTGTGTCCTTCCCTCCCATGCACTCCTGCACCCTGATCTGTCTCCTTGTGCATACATAGCCCTTTTATTCTGCCATGATTGATTTCTCCAAAGAGTGTGTCTACCTAATGGTAAATGTTCAGCTCATTAAACTCTAACTAACTCACTGCCATCGAGTTGGATTGGACTCCTAGCAACCCCTCCTTGGGTTTCTGAGGTGGTATCACTATGGCAGTAGGTTGCCTAACCTTCCTTCTGAGGAGTAGCTGGTGGGTTTGAACTGCCAGCCTTCTGATTAGCAGTCAAATGCCTTAGACATTACACTACCAGCTCACATGCCTGTCTTTTCTTTGACTGGAAGCCACAGGGTAGGTTCAATTGCAGACCTGAAAGGCAGCTAGGGGCCATAGTCTCAGTGGTTCCATCAAGCTCTATCAGACCAGCAAACCTGGTCCCTTTTTTTTAATGATTTTTTTTTTAATCTCATCTTTTGACTGTCATAGCATCTTATCTCTTGCTTTGTTAGTACAGCTGAATTATGGACTATCTTACAGACATTTCCCATTCTCCCTGGCTTCTATGAACTTCTTGAGAGCAGGGACCACGTCTTCACTATGTCTGTTTGCCTAACTCCTAGAGCAGCATCTGAAACACTGAGAGACCAAAGAAATACTTTTTGACTTCAAATGAATTTAATAGAATAGTGACTATTATAGGACTATCTAAAAAACATTTGAAAGCAAACACTAAAAATCGTACTTGGAATAAATCATATTGAATGTAAATGATCTGAAATACTACGTCCCCTAATGATGTGCAATTTCCCAAGCTTATGAGTGGGTCTCATGTGATTTGGAAGTGTACTACTTTAATATTTTACTAATATATCCATCTTTTTTTTTTTTTTTTTTTTTAATTGTGATTTGGGTGAAGGTTTGTAGAGCAAATTCGCTTTCCATACAGCGGTTCACATATACTTTGTCTCATGACATTGACCACAGTTCACCACAATGCAACAGATCCCTTCCCACTTCCTCCCCATAGTTTTTAATGATTCTGACTTTTCCACATTGTTCTCCCACTCCATCCAGGATCTCCTATATAGATCTCCCTCCAAGTGCTTGACATATATCTGTTTTGTAGTCGGGCACCATCTAGTTCTTCTGGTCTTATAGTCATGTAGCCTGAGGATTGGATGGTGTACCAGTCATTTGGACTAATTGCTTCCATGCATCTTTGGTTTTCTTGGTTCTTTTCTCTGGATGAGGAGAGACCCCTTGTTGCATCTAGATGGCTGCTTGCAAGCTTTTAAGATCTGGATGCTACTTGCCAAAGTAGGATGTGGAACAATGTTCCTGTGTAGTATGTTATGCCAACTGAGCTTGATGTCCCCTGCAACTATGGTCCTGAGCCCATAGGTCCAACTATTCTCTTTCTCTGGGTAGCTGACTGTGCCCAAGAAGTGACTACAACCTTGTCCCTTGTCAGCTCTACTATATACCTAGGAATTCTCATTGTTGTTGTTGTTGTTATGTGCCGTCGAGTCGGCCTGACTCATAGCGACCCCTCCTTGGGTTTTCGAGGCAGTATCACTACGGAAGTAGGATTGCCCAACCTTCCTTCCGAGGAGTGGCTGGTGGATTTGAACCGCCAGCCGTCTGGTTAGCAGGCAAGTGACTTAGCCACTATGCTACCAGAGCTCCTTCATACAAATACTTGTAGAAACATTGTCTGCCAACCCTATACATGGTCGTGGGCACACTCCCCACTGCATAGATATGCCTAATAGTTAAGTCTGTCCACCCATCTATCCACTTGTATATCAGTGTTTTCCTTCATTGACAGTGCTGTAATGTATGTGCAAAAGGGTTCATCTTTATTGTCTGTACCTCCCATGCACCTCTCTATGTCTTCCTCTTCCTCAGTGCCACTGTGTTGATCACTCACATTTGATACACTACCCTTTTCTTCATTCAAATCAATGCTTGTCTCTACTCATCTAACAGTGTTCTCTCCCTTCCCCTCCCACCCCTGGTAACCAACAAAGAAGATTTCCTTCCATATATAAACCCTTCCTTGACTCTCTACAATAATGGACCAATACATTATTTGTCCTTCTGTGATTGACTTACTTAACTTAATTCAGCATAATGTCCTCCAAATTCATCCATGTTATGTGGTGTTTTGCTGATTCTATGTTATTCTTTAGGGTTGCATAGTATTCCGTTGTGTGTATGTACCATAGTTTGGTTTTCCATTCTTCTGATGATAGGCATCTAGGTTGCTTCTATCTTTTTTACTATTGTAAATAGTGCTGTGATGAAAATGGGTGTGCATATATCTGTTCTTGTCTTGGCTCTCACTTCTTTAGGATACATACCTAGTAATGGATTGCTAAGTCAAATGGTATTTCTAATTCCAGCTTTTTAAGAAATTGCCATACTGCTTTTCACAGTGGTTGTATCATTTTACAGTCCCCCTAGCAATATATGAGAGTCCCAATCTCTCTTTTAGAAGTTCTCATTCATTTGGGTTATGTCTTTTTATGCCATAAATTAAGACCCCTAAGTTTGCCCCTATTTTTTCCTTGAGGAACTTTAGAGTTTTAGGTTTCTGGAGTTAGTTTTTCATGTATGGTGTGAGGTACAGATCTTGTTTCATTTTTCTGCAAATGGATATCCAGTTTTGCCAGCACCGTTTGTTAAAGAGGCAGTCTCTTTCCCATTGAATGGATTTCAGCCGTTTGTCAAAAATCAGCTGACCATAGGTCGATGGATCTATTTCTGGGTTCTCAATTCTGTTCCACTGGTCTATGGGTCTGTTGTTGTACCAGTACCAGGGTGTTTTGACTACTGTGGCTGTATAGTAGGTTTTGAGATTCGGAAGTGTGAGACCTCCTACTTTGTTTCTTCTTCAATAGTGCTTTGCTTATCTGAGGTCTCTTTCTGTTCTGTATAAAATTAGTGACTGGTTTTTCCATATCCTTAAAGAATATTGATGGGATCTGGATTGGGATTGCATTGAATGTATAGATTGCATTGGGTAGTACTGACATTTTCACAGTGTTCAATCTTCCTATCCACGAGCATGGTATGTTCTTCCATTTATGTACATCTTTTATGGTTTCTTGAAGTATTCTTTCATAGTTTTCTTTGTAAAGGTCTTTTGTGTCCCTGGTAAGATTTATTCCCAAGTATTTTATATTTTTGGTAGCTATTGTAAATAGTATTGATCTCTCTATTTCTTTTTCCGCAATCTCTTTGCTGGTATAGAGGAATCCAACTGATTTTTGGGTATTGATCTTGTATCCAGACACGTTGCTAAATCTCTCAATTAGTTCCAGTAGAATTTTTACTGAATCTCTTGGGTCTTCTGGGTATA